GTCTCCATGTGGCTCTTCCTGGCACTGGTGGCACAGAGAAAACTTGGGTTAGGTGGAAATTGGTCTGCTTCAGTGTTAGCTTGTGTTTTGAAATGTAGTTTGCACTAAAGCGTGCAGAATTTTTATTCTCTTGATTGCACATTCAAAAACACGAGTGTTCTTCCAATAAGGAAGGCTGTCAGGAACTCTTGATTGAGAACTGACAATTTTTACATTGTGTTGACATGTCCATTGTTTCCATTTGCCTCCGTGCCTCCTGAGAATAAAGTATTTGAACCAATATTAGAGTTGGGATTTTCACAAAGTAGTGCAGGATGGAGCATCCTCTCTACAGTGGATCGATCTCCTATCAGCTTTTAAGAAACAGAGTATTTGAACTGCCCATAGGTCTTCTGTAGAGATTAGGGCTATGGTACTGATAGTTCTTCTTGATGCCTCTGGTTTGCTCTAATTTGACAGAACTCAAAGAAACAGCTACATTTCATTAATGGAGAAGAAGAATCTGTCAGGCCCTCGTATTTTCTCAAGAGACTTGTGCAGTGCCTGAACAATCCAAGCTTTTTTCTTAATCCTAAAGGTATACCTGAATTCCTCCTGCAGAAGCCAGACCAGGTGCATGGTTCACATGCATGTTTAATGCTATTTGATGTCAGATTCTGCACAGGGTATCTGTCAGAGGGGAATAGGGTCAATGTGCATTACTTTCTCATCTGTGACTACATATTGTCTGCATACTAAGCTAGAACATGCTTCAATGAAGGTATCTGTAAAGATTTATGGATAGAATCGAAAGGATTAGAAAACAAGGTATTTTCTTTAAAGCTTAGGTCCAGCAAAACAGAATTAACACAGTTTATATAGTTGTGACTGCCCTTGATCAGTCTCAGAGTGCCATGCAAGCCCAGAAGAAAAAAAATCTGTCCATTTTAAGGAGACCCATCTTAGGTTTGTCACGTGTATGACCGCCTCCATCGAGACTCAAGACACATACCATTGGGGTACTCTAAAATAGATGACTACACAAACCTAGGAGAAAATCTGCTACCTTTCTAATAAAAACACATGTACTGATATAAGAGAATTTTGAATTAACGCTGACCTGTTTAAGCAGCACTAGTGCCCATGGCTCTTCAGGTGCTTGAACTTTGAGGAAACCCTTTATTTGCATAAGGAAACTGCCTCAGAGATACTGACTGTGTTAAATACTTTACCAGAGTTTCGATATAGCATGGGCACACAGCAACCCCCTTTGTGAGAGAAATCCCACGAGCTCAGAACTGTAATAATGTCAATTGGTTTATTACATATGGGAGCACTATTGCTATCTGTTCTGTAGCACTGAGCATCATTTGCTTGGAGATTGTACTAAAGTGTTCCCACTTCAAGACTGAGTTCAGAAAAAGTGAGAAATTACAGCGTGGGTTCTGTCTGGCAAGAAGAAACAGACCTTAAACAATGCCAGTTAAGCCAGGCATATTATGTTTCACATTCGAGGCTTTCCAGCTGAAATCGTTTTTGTTTGCCTTTTGGGGTATAAGAAGCTTTGAGATGCTGGGCAAGAGCTGTTGAAATAAACAATGGAATAGAGCAAGAGAGATTCTGACTGTATATAAGGAAGAAAAAAATTCCCCATGAAAAAAATGACAACAATAACAACAACAACAACAAAAATCAGTTTAGCACTGGTACAGATGCCCAAAGAGGCTGAGGAATCTCCATCCTTGGCAATGTTCAAAACTCATCTTGACAAGCTTCCCAAAGAACTCTTCTCCTCTCTGGTTGTTCCACTAAGAAACCAATATTCTTGAAAATACTGGTAATGATTGTATTCATCTCTCTTATTGGGATCTTGAACATAAATTTTGGTAATCTAGGTACAGTGGCACAGAGATAGTGCCAAAGTAAACAGCCATGATAGCACTGGTGAATAATGTAAGCAGATAACCTGGAGACTTCCATCTTCCATCTCTTGGACTTGGTACTAAAGCAAAAGTGACTCGTCTTTTCTAACTGCTTGGGATCTTTACAGTTTTATAGAGGTGAATCATTAAAAGACATTGGGATCCTCAGGAGCCGTCATGCTTTTCAGATGTTTTAGGATTTTCAGGACTTCCAAGGAGATTGAGATAATTCCACTACCTAAGGAAATATATGCCTAAAAGTGGTTTAGAATCCCTTATGGAAGAGTTAGCATAAGAGGATTGACAGATGGTACATGACCAGCAAGTTCATGTAGTTGGAAGAGAGAGAGGATGAGAAGGGGTATTTAAGGAAATTTTTTTAAGAATCCTGTTATGACAAGGTGTATTACTTTGCAGTTGGATTTGGGGGAGAATGGGGAATGGTGGATTCCGTAGCAAGAAGAAGTAAATCTCTCTGAAAGCAGTTTTGGAAGAAGTAAATAGCTGAGAAGGCTGTGAAAAGGTGCTTGTGTGGACAAGAGAAGAGAGTGGTTTAAAAGTTGGGATGGTTTGAGGTTTCTGTTTACGTAGTTTGGTGTAGGGAAGGAATAGTAGGAGAACTGAAGAATGAAAGATGAGCGTCTTTGGGTGTAGTCAGATTCTATACACATCAAGTGCTAGGGGGAAGGGCAGGGCAGTGGTTAGCAATTTAGGGGCTTGGTACTCTTTAATTCAGAGAGGCTACTGCTTCCCTCCTACTCTCCCTTAAATGCTTCCATAATGTTGTCTCTCTCCTTCGTTGTGGAGTAAGCATTTTTCATTGAGGTGTGGAAGAGGCAGAATAAAATAAATAAAAAAAAAGGAAAGAAAGAAAAAAGGCAAATTCACCTATTTTTAACTACTAAATCATAACCAGCTTTTTCATTTAGCCACAATTTATTTCAGGGAGAAATAAATTCCAGTCTAATCCGGACAACGGCTGTATGATTCCTCATGAATAGCCATGCAACTTTACTGGGATACAGAATTGACCAGAGTAAGCCAAATAGATGTTGTAAGAGAGAGATGCAGGTCAGGAGGGAAGCAGAAAAATTGGTTTCCTTGAAGCCAGAAATTGTGTCTGTTTTTGTGTACAAGGGATTTTTTTTTTAGTTATATCTATGGTAATTTCAGTACTTTTGCCTGAAATTCAGCAACCAGAGCATATTTGGGTTCTGTCTTCTGCTCTGCCACTCATTAGTTATGTGACATTAGAAAATCTGGGTTGTGAGCTGTCTTCAAACCTTCTGTAAATGAATGCAGTCCCATTGACTGAAATCAAAGTTGTGTTCAGTTTATTTGACCTCTGTTTCTGCATTTATTTGCCTTCAAAGTGAACGTTTAAAAGTCGCTGTCTCTGAGGATTTTACTGGCCTAATAAAAAAGCTTTTAGATATTATAATGTTACCTATTGACTGGCAGTACAAATGGTGAGTATTTATGTCTCCATATAGAATAGTCATGCAGGCTTGGTTCTGGTGTACCCAGTCTTGATTTTTGTGGCTCAGGCAACAGTCTTCAACCCTGTTCCAGGAGAACACTGCTATGTGCTTGGATAGTTCTTTCTGTAAAGAAGTGCCTTCTGATCATTCAGCCTGAAATTTTCTCCTTTTTACAATTACATGCAGTGGTGTTTTTCTTCTGTGATACATCGTGGTGCATGCATTAACTAATATGCAGTACCTGTATATTATACTGTCTTCATTATTCCTCTGTTATACTTAAGTGATTTTATTTTTCTCTTTTATTATAAGTCATGAATCAAAGGTTTTGCCTCTTGCTGAAGTTTCTTTAGTTTCCTTACATTTTAGTAATGCCCAGAGTTCAACTGTATTTGGTGTTCTAAGTTCTTACTGGGGGCAGTGTAAGAGAGAACTATTCCATCCTGTTCAGTAATTTCTCCCCTTCTCCAGGAAAGTAAATCAAATTGCACTCCACTGCCTTTTTCCATGCTCCCCAGGCTGCTTTTTCCTCTGCTATGCCGAACTTACTCAAATCCCACATTGCAAGGTTTTCAGATAATTGCACTGAGGCTGCCCCTTTTAATTACAACTCTTCCCTCTGCTGTTTCAGCCAAGTTATTGAGCCATTTCTCTATATTGCCTGAGACATTTTTCTTTCTCCTTAGCTACGCTTCACTGTCTCACTGAAGACATTGAAGTATTTTCAATGCTCTGCGCAAAGAGCTCCTGAAGAAACAAAACATACTGATTTTTTGCATGCAACCTACATATTATGGTGGTATTTCTCTGGTGGGCTGAGAATTGGTCAGATGGAGCCAAAATTACCTTGCTTAGTAAAATTATTGTGCTGGATTGATCTCATGCAATGCTAGATTAGGCCACATGCTGCTCCTTTTCTGTGAGATAAGCCTGTGTGTCAGATTCTTAGTGGTGGTGGTAGAGTTTTGTTTTGATTTTTTTCCCACTTAAGATGATAAACTCGGACTTTTTCTGCTTTTTCTGGCTGTAACAGTCTCCCTATTTGACCTTAAATATCACAATGTTCGCTTCCTCATGTACAACATACCAATGGGAAAAATACTGTCCAGCTTTAGTAATACGCAGTCGTATGCTTAAAGGGACAAATGCCTACATCTGATACACAGTTACAAGTGTGTCAGCCATGCAGATTTGTGTTGGCAAAAACTCTCCTGTCATAGCTACTGCCCTGCAGAGTCCTGAAAAGGCAAAATGAGACAGAATTTGAAAAACATACAGGGGAAATGGAATGCACGCCTTCTAAGATACATTGCTGGAGATGCGAAGGGTCAGAACTTAAGCAGGAGCACAGCCTATACTGTGGTACAGATTAACACTGATGTGGGAACCCTCTCTCACTGATGCCATGAATGTCTCAAAATCTGTATGGGCAGTGTGCAGAACACCTGTGACTGACTGAAATCTTGAGGGCCCGGTACGTGGTAAATGCTGAGTCTGTGCTACTCTGTTTCACTTGTATGTCGGAAGTAGTAAGTGATGGAGTGGATGTATAAAAACTGTCAGTTTTGTATTATTGTGGCCTGATTTCTGTTTCCATCTTCTGTGTTTCCTTAAACAGTGTTTCTGTGTGAAGGCCTCTGTGCTTTGATTTGGGAAGATATTAAAACACTCCAAGATATCTCTGACCATTTCAAGGGAGTGGTGTGTGTTTGTTAAAGATGGTGGTATTCACAGAGAATCTTCATGGATTCTAATGGTGGCATCAGTGCAAGAAGAGTGGCGGGAATGGGTTGGATCTGGATGGTCTGCTGCTTTCATCTAGTCACCTCACTAGAAGGTAAGAACAGATACTATATATTGCAACAACTTAATAAAGTTATCTGTAGAGATTAAAAAAAAAGAATAAATAAGAAAAATGTGCTCTCCAGTATACTTATCCTAGTCCGGATGAGCATTGAGGACATGTCTTTCTGTTTGATGGTTGATGACTATCTCTTGAGATGTAAAAGTTTTAGTATTGTTTCTAGTGGGAGAGGCAAACCCTTAATGAACATCACTACTAGCTGTCTCAGAACTGACGGCCTCAAAGAATAATTTTTTTCTCAGGAAATAAGCTCCTTGTTTATGCTTTGCATGTATTTGATTCTTGTGTTCCTGTTCTTGCACCATGTTTGTTTTGTGAAACAATCTCTGAATGTTTAGGCTGTTCTAGAAGGCAGCATACAGTGGGCTGAAATCAAGAGTCTTTTTCCCGCATTTGAACAACTTGCCTCAAATAATAGATATGGAAGGAATGCTTTGCATTAACAAGAAGAGGCAGCTCACATTCAGCCCATAGAGGAGAGGAGGGAGAGAGCAGTGAAGGCAGTGTAGGGAAAAGGTGGGCAGAAAAGGAAGGCCAAGAAAACGCTAGAAGAAAGAATAGATGGTAGGAGGGAGGGCGATGAGAGCAGGAGGTAAGATGAGAGCTGTGGAAGAGACTTAGAGGAGGGCAGAGGTATTGTAAACAGTCCTCTTGTTTGTTCCAAGAAATATCCTTGCAGCTACATGTGCTCAATGAACTGTACTGCTTTGTGATGAATGTTCATCTCTTGCATTTCTAAAAGCCTCTGAAAAAGGAGAGGAGGAATCAAAGGAAGACAAGGAAAGACCTAGAGGATAGGAAAAGAGAATAGTGTGAGGTCTAATAAAAAGAGGAAAGCTTGTTAAAGCATCCCTTCTCTTAACAGGAGGGGAGTGGAGTGGGGGAGGAGTTTAGAGACAAAATAATTGATATAAGATTACAATACAAATTCTTAAATCTCTGAAATTCTGTTAATTACTGATTTTAAAATTATCTTACAAAGTACTGTGTAATTCCTTGTGTAACTGGTAAAGGAACTGAGATAGAAAAGGGGGAGAAAATGTTAATTCTCTCTGCAAATATGAAGCAACTCAGTGATGCCTGTAGGAACTGACATTTTTTGAATTCTGTACTCACTCCTGTAAATTTGTAGAGATAAAAGAGTTAAGAAAGCACCGTGTGATACAGGTTCACAGATCACGTAGTTGAATTGGTTGGATTAAAATACGATAGCAAAGTTTAAAATTTTACCTATGGAGATGAAGTAGTAAAGATTCCCATGACCTGATTTTTAACTCTCAATTCAGAGTCAGGGGAGTCAGCACCTTCATTGTGACCGTGCTACATGGTCCTAGGTTTGCACTCCAAAGCCGATTTGCATCTCAGAGGTAAGTATTTTTGTTGTGGTCAAAAGTCAAAGAAAAATTATGCAGTAGGGAAGGAAAGTCTGATGATAACTATGTAGAAAGCTTTGCTTTAGTACAGGATTGTCCATAAGGAAGAAAAAAAGCCCATGGCTGATTTGTTGACTCATTATTATATAGAGTAGAAACTTGAACTTCAGATTTCAGATTTTAGTTGAAAAATATAGGGAATATCCAGCGCGGTCTTTAGTTTTTGTAATGTTTGTTAGAAGTTTTAGATGGTGTCTAAAATATGTCTCACCTCTAACTGAAGAAAATTGAATGGGAAAATCAGTCAAGGTAATTTTTCTTCCAAGTGTTTCTCAGGCATTTGAGTTAGATTTCACAGTCTGAATGTAAATCACTTTTTTTCTCAAACTAAGCTTTGTTTGAAATTTTATAAACCTTACTATAAATAATTAAGAAAAGGAGAAGCTGTAGAGAGGGGAAGAGAAGTAGTCAAAGTATTCAAACCATCTTTATATGCAGTATGAAGAGAGCAAATACTTTTTATGCAGAATACTTTTGATGAATGGAAGGCAGCATGCTTTTACAGGACCTAGTTGAACTTCAGACTCCTTCATGACTCAGAAGTAAAGAAATTCTTGTAAGCAATTGAAGATGTTTTTGTTGTTATTGTTGTTGGGTTTAATGCATAAAAAGGAATCATTAGGCTGAATTTATTTGATACAGCTCTAGTATTTGGACACACTGATTTCAACAGGAATGAGTATGTCTGTCCAAAGTTTTCCAGACATGATTTTCACAGTAGACAAAAAACCTGCATGGGAAACATGATGGAAAACTGCTTTGCAAACAGAAGACATTTCTAAACTTGTTATTTTAGCTTTATAAAAGGAAACAAGATTGCATGAAAGTTTTCATTACGATTACATTTCCCAATGTTTATGGCTCTGCAAAAGTTTTTGAGGATTTAGTTTGGAGAGCCTAATTTTTGAGCTACATGCTGGGTGAAGTAATGGATTTTTCCCTTTTCTCAAAGACACACAGAAATTTTATTTCTTTGAAAATCTATATATGTATGTAATTACAATTTATCACTTAACATTTAAGTTAACATTTTAGGTTAACCTTTCTGACTGTAAAAGTTAGTGAAGCATTGAATTTAAGAATGCCTCATGGGCTGCAGTCAAGACAGGTGAGAGCTAGTGATAACTTGTTAATGAAATAGCTCTTACTAGGGCGCTGAGATGAATTTTATGTGGAATATTGGTTTTACTTTGAATGAGTTATAAATGTTTACAGCTATAAACACAAGCAGAGTTCATTTTGCAGAACTCATTAAATATGTTCCAAAGGAATGATGTATGTAAGTGACTGCATTTATTTTACAAGCTCTCCAGCCTGCAGAATGGCTGGACAACCTTTCTAACTATATTACAGAAGTGCAAGATAGAGAGAGAAAAATTATTCTGCCTTGGTAGAACCTCTTTGCATTGAAAGTGTCTCCTTGGCAAAAGGGAACATGAAAGAAAAAGGTAGTGAGGTCAGACATTCTTATTTCATTTTTTCCCCTGTCTTTTCTATTAACTGGTTGTCATCTTGGGCTGTTGAAAATAATGTATTGATTGCTTAAATTGGCTTGCCTTTGATGTGGAGGAAAACTATACTTTCCTCGAAAGGAATTTTCAGAAAAAAAAATACATTTGTCTTTTGTTTTATTGTATACAGTTTAGTATATACAAAAAAAGGTTTAAATTAGTGTTAATTTACTTTGGCTACTTGTGATTCACATGAGTTATTAAAATCCTAGCAAACATTTTCTTCCAAGTTCTTTCCTGGCACTCACCTGCGTGCCAAAATCTTTGCTGCATGCTTGGAAAGCCCAGGGCTTTCCCAGAGGAATATCCTGTTGTAGACGTGCAGAAGGTGAAGGAGACTTGACTGGATGTGCAGCTTGTTTGCAAATGGGAAACAGACAGGAGGTTATCCTTTTGGTCGGTCTCAGCAGCTCTGTTTGATTTGTTTTCTTCCAGAGTAGATTCGTGTGTGTTCCCTGTGCTCAGACATCCACATTCCAGTCCTGTGATGAATCTATTCCCAAACTGCAGGCTAGCCCTTGCTGCTCAGAGGCCAGTAGGACAGTAGAGACTATTCATGCTGCAACTAACACTGTTTATATTCAAAGCTAATTAAACCTTCAAGGAGAAAGAATGGCATTCTTGCAGTGTAGGGTATCTGGGACTTAAAATATATGCTTCAGTGAAACTTTGGAAGACATAAACTCACTTTTTAATGTCTATGCAAAAAAGTAAGCAGGAAAACATAGATAAACACCAGAAGTCACACTGTCATCAAAAGTAGCCAGTTTGATGGCAGTGGCGATTGGATCCAATTTCTAGACTCAGTAGTGGGTGTTTGCAGAATGAACATCTTAAGCTGCAGAAGAATCACATTATATTTTATCACTAGAAAAGTTGTAGATAGTAATTTAATTTGATTTCATATGCAAAGGTGAAACTTTTTTTTTTTACATTTCCCAATGTCTGCGTTTTTTGACATCAGTAGATGAAGTAGCACAACATGCTAGTCTTGGCAGTTTCCTTAGAGCTTTAACAAAAGAAAAGGGCAGGTAAAGAGAAAAATACACAGTCATTCATAAAGCTTAAAATCTGTGTTACAAAAAGCTGTGTATTTCCATATCCTAGACCATTTGGCTGTGATTTCTCTCTTTCACAGATGGCACATAACTCCTGGTTGGGGTGTGAGAATTCCTTCTTTCAGATGACAACTTTGATGTTCTGATAGTATCAGCATTTTGCTCTGACACAGCAAGTAGTTAAATAATATATACTTCATGGAACTTACTAAACCCATATCCCATTGGCTCCAAATAGCTTTTTTAAAATTAATTGTATAGGAGTGCAGAAGTAATACAAGATCATTGATTGCAGAATTATTTCAAAATATAGATTTATCCAAGAAAAAATGCAAATTCCTTTGTCTCATATAGATTGGGTTTGTATATATTCTCTTATATTAGGAGACATATTTTTAACCTGCAACTTGTTTTTTTGTGTTAAGTCATAGTTTAACTTTAAAAAAGATAGTTTTTATTAAAAAATAATATCAATCTTTGGGTAGTTCATGAACAACTAGGATTTTTTTACTATTTTTGTTTGGTTTTTTACTTATTTCATCAACTACTTTTTGAAAAATAGAGTAGTTATTACAGTTGCATATGTCACTGGCCATTGATTTTACTTCACCACAATAGCTGTTAAGTTTTGGAAGAAGTTCTAGTGTATTTTAAGGCTTCCCAAGGGTTTGTCTGTATTCTGTCTCCAGGTGATAGAACCCCATGCATAAAAATATTTGTTCAGTTGAGTGATAAAAGGCTCCTGATAAAAGAGTCCTCTCCACATGCTCAAAGGAGCACAGAGGAACAATGAAAGGCAGAGGAATCTGAATAACCTAATAGAGAAATAAGCACTGTGACCCAGCTTCTCCCAGGGCTATCAGAGGAGTGTGATCAGCCCATGGAGTGGGAATGGAAAGCATTAAATTAAGTCAATGGAAGTGCTCTCTGGAACGCCGTGGAGATTTAAGGCGGTTACTGCCAGAGGGGCC